GACCAAAAAACAAAGAAAACCTCCCCAAACTGGAAATAAGGTAAATGCCCATTAATAGCGTAATGGATGAATAACATATGCTGTATTCAAATATACTAATAAATTACACAAATATCTTAGAGAAATCTGCATTGGTGTTACTAAGTAGAAAAAAAGGCAAACCACCAAGTGTACATTATATAATCTCATTGTTTTTTACCATGTGCATCCACACACACACACACACGTATATATAAGCATAGAGAAAAATATGGAAGGAAATATGTGGGATTATCAACAAAAAGGAGGAGGCAAGGAAAAAAGACCACTTTTTTTTTTTTAATTTTTTTTTAACGTTTTATTTATTTTTGAGACAGAGAGAGACAGAGCATGAGCAGGGGAGGGTCAGAGAGAGAGGGAGGCACAGAATCCAAAACAGGCTCCAGGCTGTTGAGCTGTCAGCCCAGAGCCCAATGCAGGGCTCGAACCCACGGACCGCGAGATCATGACCTGAGCCGAAGTCGGATGCCCAACCGACTGAGCCACCCAGGCGCCCCAAGACCACTTTTTTTTTTTTTTAAAGCATGTAAATTTCACAATTAAAATTACTTATCATGAATGTGTATCTACATGAACGCATTAAAAACCATCGAATCTAGTATCTCCTAACGTGTAGGAATAGTATCCTACAGTGATAAGTGAAGAAAGTTTCAAATACTGTGTATAAAAAGGTTCTATTTCTGTAAAAAAGCTGAAACAAAGCCCTAACAAATGTGTTTAAATGTCTGTATGAGCAAGGAATAAGCTAGAAAAGGATAATCATTAGACGTTACCATTTGGGGAAGGGGAGAAAGACGGTTCTTTCCGTACGCATGTCTGTACTGTCTCCACTGCTGTGGTAAGTAGGTGCTGTATTTGTTCATTGGAAAAGCAAGAAACTAAAGAACCTCAATGAGCTTTCCAGACTTACGCCCCTGCTGGCTCATCATTCTTTGAAGAGCTCAAACCTGCATCAGCAGCCCCCACTTACTGAAGGCTCAGATGTCAGACTCTGTACGAAGGTCTTTTACATATTGTCACGAGGCCCTCTCCGTTCACTACTAAGTGACAACTACGGTCACCGGCCAGGCCCCAAGACTTGACCTTTACTGCCCACCTGCTTGTACTCACCAACCTACGTCCCACATTTTTCCTTGAGTTCTTCTTTCCGGCTGATCTCTTCACTCAGGCAACTGGAAACCGAAACCACCCCTCAAGAGACAGGGCCCAGACGGGTTAGAGAGGAACCCCTGACTAGTGCCTGTGTAGAAGGCCCACGGAGGGACCTCCAACTTTACCTCACTGTAATACTAAAATCTCTGCTCAAGGAGGAACACAAGCCTCATTTGCACAGCAGTGCGTGTACAGGTATGTTTCCCCAACACGCCCCGTGGGCTTATGCCCGCCTCTACATGAGATGCTACGGCTTCCCACCAAAACATTCATCCTAACCCTATAAAGAGGGAGCCATGCACCCTTATTCAGAGTCGTAGCTTTGGAAGTCACTCCCCGTGATCTCCTTATTTGCCGCAAATACAGTTTGCTTTGTGCACAACTCCACCTGGTGTATCTTATTTCAATGTTTTTCAAACAGGACTCAATCCACCACAAATGGGTAAATCAATTTAGTGACACCCAACAAGTTTTTTAAAACTTTAGGACAGAAAAGAGGACATTGAGCATGACAAGGATTTAGTACAATTTTGAGAGGGGAGCCTGGCTGACTCAGTCAGTAGAGCGTCAGACTTTGGTTCAGGTCATGATCTCGCAGTTCGAGTTCGAGCCCCACATTAGTCTCACTGCTGTCAGCGTGCAGAGCCTGCTTTGGATCCTCTGTCCCCCTCTCTGCCCCCCCCCCCCCGCTCATTCTCACGTGCGCTCTCTCTCTCAAAAATAAACATTTAAAAAATCTTTTAAAAAATATAATTTTGAGAAACATATATATTTGTATACATGATAGGTTGTGACAGAAAATACATTTCTTACTGTGAGTTATAAAAATAAGCTTGAAAAACTCTTATTTTAACTTTGTATCTCCAAGTGCATACTGTCTGATACGCAGCAAGGGCTCAAAAGTGATTGCAGAAGTAGGGGCGCCTGGGTGGCTCAGTCGGTTGAGCGTCCGACTTCAGCTCAGGTCATGATCTCACAGCTCGGTGAGTTCGAGCCCTGCGTCCGGGCTCTATGCTGACAGCTTGGAGCCAGGAGCCTGCTTCGGATACTGTGTCTCCCTCTCTCTGCCCCTAACCCACTCGCATTCTGTCTCTGTCCCTCTCAAAAATAAATCATTAAAAAATTTTTTTAAGTGATTGCAGAAGTAAAATCAGTACCTTGCCTGTTCAAATTAAGAACACATTATTCCTTTCGTTTATCCGGCCAGCTATTCTTTTGCATGCTCCCACAGTCACATCACTTCTGTTCCTTTCTGCTTTTTAGCTGCAATCATGAACTTTCTCCTTTAAAACTCAGTCACTTCCATAGCAATGTGTACCTTCTGGATCAGCCTTCTTTTAAATTGTCTAACCTTCCAATGCTAAATACTCCTAAGTTTCACTGTCACGAATCTCCTGTATCATTCAAAAAAAACCTTTACTGTGATTCTGCTATCTCTTTCAACATACTAGCCTATCTAACACCTTTCCTCCATCCTTAAATTTCTTTTTTACTTTTTTTATTTTATTATTTATTTTGAGTGACACAGAGGGAGCATGAGCGGGGGAGGGGCAGAGAGCTAGAGAGAGGGAGACAGAGACAGAGAATCCCAAGCAGGCTCTGCACAGTCAGCACGCAGAGCCCAATGCAGGGCTCGACCTCACAAAACTGAGATCGTGACCTGAGCCAAAATCAAGAGTCTGGCGTTTAACCAACTGAACAACCCAGGAGCCCCCCATCCTTAAGTTTTTAAAAACAAGGGTCGACTTTTAGCCTCCACCCCACCTCCCACACCTTCCTAAAATGATGGTCATTTGATTTCTGCTCAAGGTGCTGCAGGACTGCCTAGGACTATACAGAGCAGGTCTTTCTCAGTCTCAAGTGCTCTACAGCAGGCTTCAGACAGCAAACCAACCAACCTGTATCCTCTTCCACCTGGACAAGGACAAACATACGGAAGCACTCAAAACTACGCTAGCTCTGGGCGCCTGGGTGGCTCGGTCATTTGAGCATCCGACTTCGGCTCAGGTCATGATCTCACAGCTTGTG